GTCGACGTTGCAGTCGGCGCCAGCGTCTGCGTCAACTTTGTATCGAAGTTTGCACACAATCAGTAAAATATTTTGGCCATCCTTCGGGGACGACCTCATTTCGCCTTTGTCGTTGGCAGTTGGACGACGCTTCGTCGCCTGCTCTGGGGCTCTTCAATGTTTTTCTTTAGCCATGCACATTTTTCCGTTTTTTAATCTTTTGCCTTTGCTTTTGCCATTGCCTTTCTTAGCCTTGCCCCTTTCTCGGTGCTCGAGTCTAGCTGAGGGCAAACTTTTTGGCGTTTCATCTGCAGCACATCAATTTTTGTTGCTGACGAGCAAAAGTTGCAATGGTCTTCGTCCAGGCAATGCCAAGCAACTCCCACACACTGCCCCTGCAGCACTCCGCTGCTTCCTGCTGTCCTATCTGAATGTTATTCTACTATTGGGTCGCTGGCTGTCCTTCCGGCTGTCTCCTGATTGACGGCGACTGACAAGTTTCTCTTCGACTGCGCATTGACTTTTCTTTCTTTGCAGTCGTTGCATTTTACGAGTATGTTCCAAGTTCTAAGTTGGCTCTGGCTCAGCAGCAGCAAGAAGAGCATTTCAGTAAATTTGTAATCCTTAAGTATATGGCAGGAAGCGTCAGCCGGCCTGATGTGTATGTGTATTGGTCCTGACTCTGTGAGCTTCTGTCGCTCCGTTGCATAACACTCTGCCAACCTTCCTCCCAGGCGACTTTTTGCAGCTCACCAGTTACCAGGCCCCCGCACAGCAGTCCAAGGACCTTATGCCTGTTAGTTGCTGGTCACTTTGTCAGTCCTTCAGTCAGTATGGCACGAAACTGTCCGAATTGAGACCAACAACAGGAACAAGAACAGCATCAGCAGCAACGACAGTCAACACAGACGAGAGTCCTTATTACTTCTTGGCGACAAACTTCTTTTCCCTGTTCTTTTTCTCCTTATATTACTACAAAGGATTTTGCGTGTTCCACTAACAAGTTGCAAGCCAATTTTTTTCATTTATTGACTGTTTCTCAAACAATTTCTGCTCTGCTTTAAAGCTGTATCTTCTGAATTAACATGACTTGTCCAAGAACTTCGGAATTTTCAAAGGTCAAAGGATCAAAAAAAAAACAAAAAACTTAAATTCCTAGATACTCTCAAAATCATTTCAGTGACAGACCTTTATGCATACACAATCAAAATATTCATAGATTCTCTTGTGTGCCTCCAATCCACCCGACGTTTATCAACTGCAAGTCCACATCAATCAATACGTATACGCAATGAAAAATACATTGAAGAATGCATCGAAAAGAATTTGTGGTTGAGAGAGACTGAGATAAGAGATAAAACAAAATTCGCTGGCTACTTTGTGTACCGGAAAGGGTCAGAGTTAGTTGCTTAAACTTTTCATCGGACAAAAACTCAAACTCAAACTCAAACTTCAACTCGGACGTGAATGTGGACTTGGACGTACAACATATAGCGCATCAGTCAAAAATTGTTCTTGCTTGTCATCAGAGACGTGCCACGTCCGCGCGTCCCACCCTCCCCGGCAAAAAAGGAAGCAGTTAGAAAAAGATGAGGAAATGTTGCCAAGCAAAGAAGAAACTTTGATGCTAACCACAAGCTGGGCAGTTGAGAAAGCAAGTGATTAGAAACTGGAATACTCTAACTTTGGCGAAATAATCAATTCAATATTTTTAATAATAAAAGTAGAAATTGTGGAATATCATTTTTAGAAATATTTTTGAGGGAAATATAATAAAAGTATATAATTAAAAAAATAAACGTTTGATGTAAAATACATTTCACATGAGTTTAAAATTATATATTTAAGACTCAAGGTTCTGGGTTTCATTACTTCGCAGTTTCGCACTTCTATCAGCATTGAAACAACCTTAAGGTTAGGGTACACCGCACAAACCATATATGGCCAGCACATAGGATGTCCATATGTGAAGTTTCTGCTTCGCTTCCTAGTGGACGCCGCATTGATGAGGGCCACGTCAATAAAATTGAGAGGGCGAGACTGTTGGGAGTTCGAAGCGAGATGGAAGCTCGACATGAAACAAAATGTCTAACTAAGAAGTATAAAAGAAATGCGCCACGTCAGACTAATCCTTACGCCATCATATTACAGCATCGTCGGGACGACTGCTTTGCCAGAGCCAAGAAAACTTGTGAATATTGTGCAGGGGCGCCTCCAGGCTCCATCTTCGTACCGACATGCTCTTGCAACCCCTACCCAAATGTCATGGAAGCCATCAATCGTTTTGTTGAAATGTGCAATAAAAGAAAAGTCATGAAAACTTTCTGCGCTGCTCGCAGATTTCTCGAGTCGGGGTCGGCATCGGGCATTCGGTCTCGGGGTTGGATGGCGGTTTGTGTTGGTGTGGGTCAGGTCTGGGTTTTGCCGTTAGTTGCCTAATGCCAGCGACAACATGGCACGGCTGTGACTTCACATCCGCAGCCGCATCCGCATCCGCATCCTGCGCTCGCCTGTCCAAACGTTCGTCTGCCCATCATTTTCCTGCATTTGACAGCGTCTTGGCGACATTTGACGATTGACGAGGACGTCGAAGACGTTGTTGTTGCCTCATCTGCAACTCAGTCAGACTCTCTCTCTCTCTCTCTCTCTCTCGTTGTTATTGTGTTCGTTGCTCCGACTGCTGCTTCTGCTGCTGCTGGTCGTAATGGCCAAGACGCTGTCAGGATAGCAACCCACTCCTAACTGGCTATTGCTACACAGTTAAAAAATTGTGAGCTGTAATTCAATTTCATCTGATGAAAATGATTAAATGAATATCAAATATTAATATCTCACTGAATGGCAGTAATCTGAACTTGATTTTTCATTTTATTCTACAACAATTCAAACAAATATAAAAGTTCTAATAAACAAAAAATTGTAACTGATTTCTCACTCAAAATATTTCATTAAGTTTTATTTAATCATTAATATGTATTTAGTTTCAGGCCAGTTATGAACTGCATGATTTTAAGCTATTTTGGAATATCTAAATTGAAAAAATGGATTATTTCTCAATCTTTACAAGTTCGAAATTTAGTTATGAATAAATATTTGAATGTATTTAAAAATATATTTGAATGCCACACTCGAGGTTAATTTTGAGAAGTGTGATTTTTCTCCGTTTTGATCCTTTTGATGATGTTTTGCCACCCAAAAATGTCTCGGGTCAAACTGTCGTTCGCACGTTGAATTGCGGTTCGCCTGGGAATGGGGCAAGTGCAAACTGGGCTTGTGCATTGGATTTGCGCCTGACGGCGACTTGACTGCTGTCTGGGTAGGGGATGGGAGGGGTGGGAAGGTTGGTCGCTGGCGTCTTAGTGTCAGCATAAGCGTCCGAGTGCATGACTACGGCGCGTTTTCTCTCTCTCTCTCTCGCTATCTATCTTGCTTGCTCTATCTCTCTCTCTATTGCTCACTCTGTCACTCTTGGTGGTAACTGCAGGCGACAAGTGCAGCGTGTTTTCCTCTGCTCCCTTTGGGGCCACGTCGCCCGGTTCGACTCAGTCAGCTCGGCTCGCTCTATCAATCCGCACACAGCACATTGAACGACAGCATCAGGATTTTTGCAATTTGAGAAGTTGCTACGTGACATTTCAATAATTTTTGAAAGTTTCTTCATCCATCCCCTCCCCCTTCACCCGCTACCACCACACCGTAACCTTTTCCTGCTTATTTTCGACTGTTGATTCTTTTTTTTATATTATTTTGCGCCATCTCGTCTTCTTTATTTTATATATTTTTATAGTGTATTTTGCGCTGCGTCCTTGGACGAAAATCGAAGCGAGGCAGGCAGGATGTGCATGTGGTTTGGTCCTGGGCATGGGTTGGGATCTCGGATTGGACTGTCGGGCATCGGGGCGGCACCGGAACTAGGAATTTTATATTCTGCAATTTTCGTGACAACGTCATTTTGTCCACGACATTCTGCCTGATGCGTCCTCGTCTTCGTCCTCGATTTCTTCTGCATCGTCGTCTTCGTCCAGCCTCTGCTCCTACCCCCCGATCCATGCCTTATGTAAGAAATTTGTTGTGTGCATTAGGAACTTTGACGCTTCACTGGTTAGCTGTCAGTGGGCTGGTTGACTTGGGTATTGGGCGGTTGGGCGGTGTTGTGAATCTGATGGTTTGCCTCCTTTTGACGTTTGAATTTTGATGCTCCGACAGTTTATTCGATTGTTTTTCTCGCTTTTACTCTGCAAAATTACGGAAGTGCAGCATCCAACCCATACCATTGACCGCCCCATCTGGTCCTGGCTCTTGCTTGGGCGCTGTCTGCTTATGTAAGGAGAGAAAATTGCTGGCACAAATGGCGCCCAGCCTGCTGTCCTGATGCTAGCTTTCGTCCTGCTTCTGGCCATGGCTCTGGCTCTGACTGCGCCATGCTGTCCGGCAATCTTCATTAGAATTTATTTTTATTGTTTTGCGGAACTTTCAACTTTTACAACTTTATCAATATATGAATATAGATGCGCATAGCCGCTTCCATAGAAGCCTTTAATTATGAAAATGCTCCTGACGATGCCGATGACAAGCACTACGGCCAGCAATGACGACAATTTCCTTTTCTATTACGTACCTTTTAATGTTAAAAAGGATTCAACATTAAAGTTTATATGGTTTATATTGTAAGAATTTCATTTTTATTATTATATTTGGAATATATTATTTATAATCATTTTTAAACTATCTGTAATTAGTTGAAAGTATTTTTCGTTGAGCTTTTGATTTGCATTATCAAAAATACATGAAACAAACTTCAAGTCGAATGCAAAATCAATTGCAAAACAATACAAAAGAATAAATATAAAAAATACGTAATCGATATGTAGGACTATCGATTCGCCCTTAATATTTTTTTACACTTCTCCACTTGACAACTGCATGACTTGACAAAAGTCAAATGAAAAATTCATTCATCGAGTTGACACAGTTCGAACTTGAGTCAAATTCCAACAAAGCTCTGTAAAATTGAATTGAAAATTCGAATTTTCATCATGTTTATGAAGAAAGCAGATCGCATTGCAATTTACCAAGTGCTCTTCCATTCGGGAGTAATGTTTGCAGAGCGCTCACCTCAGATGATGCACACGGACAAGGAGCTGAAGCACCTGACCAACTTGCAGGTAACCAAGACGATGAAATCACTCAAGTCGAGTGGTTACGTCACGGAGCAGACGGCCTGGCGCCACCATTACTGGTGTTTGAACAACGAGGGCATCGAGTTTCTCCGGGCGTACCTCCACCAGCCGGCAGAGGCGATGCCCATCACTCTGCAGCGACGCACTGTCCCAGTTCGCATGCCGCGCACCTCCGACGATCCTCGCTTCCGGGATGGTCCACGTGATGGCAAGGAGCGCGATGATCGCTCCACCTACCGTCGCTCTAACCCACCAACCGGCAGGGAGCTCGATAAGACAGGCAATGTGGGAGCAGGCAGTGCCAATATGGAGTTCCGTGGCGGTTTCGGACGAGGCAAAAAGGATTACTGAGGATGCCTTTATTGGAAGACTTCTTCGCTTAATCCTTCTATAGTTTGAATGTTGTGTTTGATTGTCTGAGTTAACTCAATAAAGCACTTAATTACTTATCCATCTAAAATTCTTTAAATAAATCCAGTAGAAGAAACGAATTTGGAAGATGTAGCTGTAATTTTAGGGGAATTAATACGAATTAAGCATTTATTTATGCCAGTGGACCTTTGGTTAGTGTTAAACCACATGACGCCTGTTCAACTTGTGAGGCCAACACCTTCATACTAGATGTTGCAACAACTAACTCGGGTAAGAGAAGAATTTGCATTTGAATTGTGTACAAGTGTTTGGAGGCGATTGCGGGTTACGGCCTCGCAGGCACAGATCAGCGCCACACGCTGCCAACAAGTGTTCCCACCACGAATTGGGTAGTTGGATAGTTGGAAAGTGGAGTTGGAGTTGGAGTCGGGCAGTCGGGCATCGGGCATCAGGCATCGGTATTTGTGAGTCGTGGTCGCTGTGTTGAGGTCTTTTGCATATCGCGACATGGTCGTGTCTTTTGTCGCCGTCTTCGCTGCTGGGCGACAAATAGACTTGTTTGCCCAATTCCCAGCTGCTAATGATGCATTTTCGATGACATTTCGTGCGCATGCAAATTTTCTGTTTGCTCCAGAGCCGCCAAGCGCAACATATTACCAAGGAATGGGCTGCTAAATGGGTAGGGTAATAGTGGGGGTATGGAGTGCATAATCACAGCCATCAGTAACGTGGCGTGCGACATTTATGACGCGCTCCTCCGCTATATAAGCTCAGAACGCGACAGCGTAACATAATACGGCTCATCATCTCCAGCATCGCTGTTAACCTCATCAGTTGCAGCCTCCGCGCTGAGATTGTTACCATCAGTTTTGTGCTGGTAGCGAGACCCAGACCGGGACCGAGACCGAGACCGAGACCGGGACTCAGACCCGCTTTCCCGCCGGCCCATAATCATGCTCATCAACCTCGTTCTCGACGCGGTTGTTCTTGACGACGCAACAGCATCATCATCCAAGGCATCAGATTCAGCGACGGCACACAACATATCACATCATCACTGGGAATGCATTTTGCATCGCTTCATGTCACTTCGGTTTTCGCTGCATTCCTTGCCTTTGCCACACGTTGCCTCCTTTCGCGTGTGTTGCTGGCAGCATTTGCCTCCGTTGACTTCAAGGCCTCAGGAATTATTATTTGCATGCAAGTTAAGGATTTGCCAAATGAGAAGTGACTCATGTACACGTAATTTAGATAATTTCATTGCAATTTTTGCATACGAGTATAACAAAGGATTTAAGGATAGAAAAATATAGCTGGGCACTCAACTGATAAACTATCAATTGTGGCTGATCTACAAAAAAAAATGTAATATTGCATTTAGTCATGGAAATGAAAATGAGTTATTTAAATTGTAATACGCCATGAAGACTGCTTAAATGTAGCGGGATTACAAAAGAGTGCTATAAACTTCAATTAAATTAAACAGACGAAGGCTCAAGTCAAGTGAGCTCGACTAGGAGATACCCTGAACTCAGTTGTTAAATACATTATATTTAATATTTATGTAGACAGAAAATGCTTCCTTCTGCCTGTTACATACTTCTGCACAAAGCCATTATACTCTTTTTACTCAGTTTTAATGGGTATACAGAGTATACAAAATTTAATATGTGTACACATATGCATATGTATGTATATATATGAGTGCGTATGTGTATCATTTTGCCGCAACATTTTGCATATTTAAACAAAAGAAGACAAAGATTCTAAAATAAGCGCTTAAATGACTTCCCTCTTCATGGAGGGAGTGCTCGCAGTGAGATTTCACAGCCCAATTTGTCAGGCGTTGACAAAGACGCTTTGTTGGCTCTTTCGGTTTCGGGTCTGGCTCTGGATGGCGAGAATTGTGCCTAGGCAAAGCGAAGAAGGCAAGTGAAAAACATTTCCGGATGAGTAACTCATCAGTCAGCGCGCCAAGAGCTGTTGACACCACTTTGGGGGCCAGCGTCATGAGAAGATGCAAAAGTTGCAAAGTGATTTTCAGCTGCTGCTGCTGCTGCTGTTGCTGCTGCAGCGTTTAGTCTGCTTCTGCTTCTGCTGCTGCTTCTTCCGCTGGTGTTGTTGTGGTGCAACAAGTGCGCAGTAAATCATGGCACACAGCAGGATGGGGGACTGTTGCGGAGAGTAGCGGCATGTTGGGAGCATTGCAATTCAACGCGTGATTGAAAACTGATGGCGTGTTGGCGGCGCATTCGAAATGCATTGGCATTAAATAAACAGAAATTGCGCATTTCTCACGCGGAAATGTCTCGCAGTTGTCGACAGACAGACAGACAGCCAGATAGTCAGACACAAAATACAGATACTCTACTTGGATGCAGATGCATCTGCAGTGCTGTCGCCAGTCGCTCACAACTCACAACAGTTCACAGCTCTCAACTCTCGACTCGCAGTTGGAGCCATTTTCCATTCCATTTCCAATTCCATTGGCAATGCCTGCGGCACCCACTTAATTTGCCAGCTTTCTACAACGGCCGGATGCAGATGCAGAGCCAGCTAGCTATTCGCTGGCTTGGGGTTGGATGCAACTATTCACATCACTTGGCCCTGACACAGTGTATCTGTTTGCAATTAAATGTCAACCATCCCGTGCATAACGGCACTGCTAGGCGACAGCCTGCCAAATTCCATAACATTGTACAAAATATTATCTAGCACATCTTGCCAGCGATGTCACTGATATGCCAATGTCAAAAATCGGAGGCTTAAATGTGTCGCAATGATTATAAGAAAATGACATTTTAATAGAGAGAAATTCGATCTGACTTGTAAGCTATATACAAATAAACAATATTAATATATAATGAATTAATATACGAAATATTTTAATTATTCGCATCGGGCAGAAAAATTAACATTTCAATGCAAATATTAATGTTCAAAATCTATTGCAAATATACATGTATATGTTTGTATATAGAGTGTCATCAATTTGAATACAATTTAAACACTCACATATTGTATACGTAACTTAATATAAATATATATATTATATAAATATTAAATCATTAATCAGTACTTATTTTGCAAGCTTGGCCTTAGCCTCACAATTTATATATTCTTTACCTTTGGCGAAATATTAACAGAGAATCTAATAATCGTATGTTGAAAAAAGTTATCAAGAGAGACAAGAAAGAATATATAACTTCTGGCCACCAAATATCGAGTGCTTCAGGAGGATAATAATTTGTATCCTCGTCAGTTAACATAATACTGCATAAGTAATATGAAGTCGGCCTTTTTTATTTTGAACAATTTTTGCATATCTTTGCAGCGAAGAAGTGCTTCATATTGACTTACCTGCTAATTGGTTGAACTGCTAAGCTCTCGAGTGGTGAATCGAGTGAATCTCACAGCTGTCATTGAACTGCTGGTTGCTGGTTTATTGCAATTCAAACAATTACCATAAATGACGATAAATGGCCCAAGTTTAATCAGAGCTGAGCCGGAGACGCAGAAGCGCAGTAGCTAAATGGCCAACTGCAGTTGTGTGTATTGCCAAGGCTAAGACGCAGGCGCAACTTCCTTTTGCCTGCTTCACAATGTCAGTTGGCGGACTTAATCGCTTGGTAGGTAGAGGGTGGAAGGGGCAAGATTTTTAGTGCGGCGTGTCAAACGTCAACCTACTGCGGGCTGAGACCTGAGAGCTGAGCATGCTAACCAGGCAACAAGGCAACGAGGCAGCCAGGCAAGGAGAGACTTTGACTTTCCCAAGCGATGCCAGAGGCAACGGCACCCATTTGCCATGAAATATAACCTCAATCAACATTCGCTCATTACCCAGCCAAGCAGCGAGCAAGCGAGCGAGCAACGGGCGTCAGAGGAGTCCAGATGACATTTTATTTATGAATACCAAATTGTAAATTATTAACATGTTTCACGCAAGTTATGGCCGGGCCGAGTGCGAGCTCTGACAGCGAATGTCCATGTCCCACGTTCACGTCCAAGTCCAATTGCAACGAATACTGCAGTCAGACAGAGACAAAAACAGAGACAGGGATAGAGACAGGGACAGAGGGAAGATAGAGAGAAGCAACTGGCGATGGATCGGTCGCTGACTGGTCGGCGAGTCCATTGGACAATCTCCATCTGGTCGACGGAGCTGCCTGCATTTGCTCAATGCAAAAATTTTCGCGTGCCAAATGAAAAGTTAATGGCCCGCTTGGACATACAAATGAGGTTATTAGCGCTTGATTATGGCGGCCATTTAGAAATGCCATACCATTGGGCATGTACATACTAGTCCCAGGAAACGACATCAATCGAGTCGAGCTACCAAAATGAAAAATGCAAACGACACCACCGAAAGGGGCAAAATTAAATGTTAGCTTGTTAGTGCCAGAAACTGATAGTTATAGCTATCAAACGGGACTATTCAACTAATAATTAATTATAAGTAAAATTGCGGAACCGCAAAGTGTATTACTGAATTACTGATGGCCATGTCAAAGTTGGCCGCAAAGACATTTATTTCTAAACAATTTGGATATTTAATATGTCTTTATTCAAAAGTGAACTTGCCGTGTTCCAAATCCAAATCCATGACGCAGTTGAAGTGCCCAAATCCACTTAAATACATACATACATTGATATAATTTATACTTGTTTTCTCTGAAACTGATTAACTGTACAATATTTTTACATAATTACAATGCCACTTTCTTTTCCTTTTTCTTTTAAATCACAAAACTTGTTCTTTTTTGTCTCTTTCGTCTATATACGTAAGTTTTGTATATGCTAATAAATTAACACTAAACTAAGATTCAAAAGATCAAAATCTTCAACACTTGAATACGTATGCGAATACGTACGAGAATCGTATGTGTAAGTAGACAAACATATATATCATTGCTTGAAACACACAAATCAAAGCGCTGTGAAATCTCGGACACTTCCTGATGCAACAGATCCAACAGAGCGAGAGGCTCTGTGGCACATGGCTCGTGGCTCATGGTTCGTGTGTCCGGGCTTTTGGCGACTGGGCAGCATCGCTGCGTCGTTAGGGACGTTTCAATAATTTA